TATATATATATGGTCTTGCTTGCATGAACTGGCTGAGGAAAAGCCAGGGCAGAGGAGAGAAAGACCATGGCACTCATTACCAAACCAAAAAATCAGTACTATCTACATTGAAAAACAGGTAGTACTCATCCCTTATTGCAGGGTCTCACTGTGTAGCTCAGGCTAGCCTCAATGTGCACCAGTCTTCCTGCCGCCACCTTGAGTGCTCGGGTTGCAAGCATGCACCATCACACCTGCCGTCTTACCGTCCGTCTTTCCACTGGGCTTTCCCAGCTTGCGTAGTTTCACTTCTTTCTCTTTAGCTCTATGTTTTTCATGTGTGAGCAAAAGCTGCATGCTTCAGAACCCCATCATTTCACTCCCTCGTATGCCCCAGAAATAGCTGGGGCGACCTGCTGTGACAGTCCTCACTTTAGCAATCAAACTGCTTTGTTTTAAAAGAAAACCTTGGTTAATTCTGAGCAACTGTTTTTGTAAACCAATGAAGTAATCTCTTAGGTAGTGGCATAGACGGCTGTGAACTACAGCTTCAAAGGGCCCCAGCAGTGCTGCACTGAAAAAGTCAGCTGCTGTAGGCCTCTGTCTGTTCCAGGTATCCAGACTGGGCTGCTTGGCTGTATGTGTCAGTTTGACACAAGCTAGAGTCACCAGAGAGGAAGGAGCCTCAGATGAGGAAAGGCCTCCATGAGATCCAGCTCTAAGGCATTTTCTCAGTTAGTGATCAATGGGGGAGGGCCTAGCCCGTGGTCCTAGGTTCTAGAAGAATAAGAAGGCTGAGCAGGCCATGAGGAGCAAACCAGTAGGCAACCCCCCTCCATGGCCTCTGCCTCCAGGATCCTGCCCTGTTTGAGTTCCTGTCCTGACTTCCTTCAGTGATGAACAGCAATGCTGAAGTGTAAGACAAACAAACCCTTTTCCTCCCCAGTTTGCTTTTCGGTCATGTTTTGTCACAGCATTAGAAACCCTAAGTCACAGAGTGTCCTCTGCAACCCACTCAGAGCCAGGGTATCAAGCTGAGACAGGTGCTGAGTGTCCAGTGAGATCCCATGGCTGTGGCTAGCTCAAGAAAACTTGAGCCTGCTCTGTTGGGGGAGGATTTGCCCAACCTGACCTGCATCCCCTTGACTAAGGTGCTAGAGACCTTTCCCCACAAGACCTTTCTGCTCCTTCTAAGATTAGCCAACCTGTCTGAGCAAACCCCTAATCACCCCATCTCCTCAGAGCTCCCCACTGCCTATACCCTTCTCTGGCGCAAGTTTTTCCCAGTAGAGCACTGGACCCGAAACCTGGCCACGTGATTGTGGGGAGCTGTCCTATAGACCTTAGCAGCACCTAGCCCTCTACCCATAGGGGCCAAAGGCATCGAGAGAAAATGCCCTGCTCCCCTCCCAACAGGGGGATCCTTGTGCATATGCTGATGGAGCAAAGGAAATAAAGTTTACTAAGTCTGACCTTAAAACTGGGAGGTTTTCCAGATCCTCTGGGTGGGCCCAGAGTAGTCTTAAGGGTCCTTAACCATAAGAGCTGAAAAAGGAGACAAGAGTGGTGAACACTGAGCCAGTGCTGCGCCTAACTTACCCTGGGGCAGCTGGGAAAGGTGAGCTGCAGCTCCCTGGAGCTTCATGAGGAACACAAACGCCTCCGTCCTGATCCTCGTGGAGTGAGGCCCGCTGCAGAGACTACAGAACTTAGTGCATCTGTCCTCTTAGCGCACTGAACCTGTGACCACCAGCTGTAGCAGCCCCTGGAAACTATGCCCTGCCGCAGTGTTTGGGCAGCAGTGCTCTCACTGGCACTGCCGACAGTCCCAGTACCAGGCTGCATTCCTTGCTCAATTCATTGGCCTTGCAGCATTAACTGTCACAAGTGGCCAGTGGGAGGGGGCCAGCTCTGCGCCTCAGCCCAGGTGCTCTAATTGATGTGGCTTGTGTTGTTGTGATGGGAGAGATCCTAAGAGGAACTGACCATCTCAGATTCCATTTGGCTGCAGACTCAGGAGGTGCCCAGGCAAACGCACAAGACCCGGAGGAGCCCTGCCAACCCTCAGCCGTGAGCAGAAGTCAAGTAACATGGAGTCCTTTAAAGCCACTCGGAGCTGAATGCACATAGCACCAGCCACTGCTGTGGTGACCCTAGCCCGCCACATGCTGTGCCCCAAGTCAAGGTGGTGGGAGGGTTACAACGTGCCCAGGGCCCTGTCCAGACTCCTTAGCACTATCCCTGCCCTAGTCCATGTGGCACCGTGTCCTGCCTTCCCTTTATCCTTTGTACCCTGAAAAATGTAGAGGCCTCTTGGATGGACAAAAATTATACCAAGGAGCCGGGTGGTGGTGTGTAGCGTTAGGAGTGGCGGGGCTGCGTCCCCGGCAACCAGCTGCCAGCATGGCTAGTTTATGCCCGAAATAATTACACGGAAACTGTATTCTTTTAAACACTGCCTGGCCCGGCTAGTTCCAGTTTCTTATTGGCTAGCTCTTACATATTAATCTAACCCATTTCTAATAATCTGTGTAGCCACGAGCTGGCTTACCAGGAAAGATCTTAACCTGCGTCTGTCTGGAGTGGGGGAATCATGGCGACTCCTGACTAAGCTTCTTTCTCCCAGCATTCTCTTCTGTTTACTCCACCCACCTATGGGTTGGCCTATTAAGGGGCCTAGGCAGTTTCTTTATTAATAAGAAATCACTCCCACAGCAGTGGTGGCGCACGCCTTTAATCCCAGCACTCCGGAGGCAGAGGCAGGCAGATCTCTGTGAGTTTGAGGCCAGCCTGGTCTACAAGAGCTAGTTCTAGGACAGGAACCAAAAAGCTACAGAGAAACCCTGTCTCGAAAATTTAAAAAAAAATTACACCAAGGGTCAACTGGGAAGGGATGCCCAGTAGGGTGATGAAGGCAGACTTCCTGGAGGAGAAGGGATTTCATGGAGTCTTAGGAAGGGAGGGAAGCAAGGGCAGGGACTTCAAGTCAGCAGGCAGGGACCCAGTGTCTAGCCTGGGAAGTCTGTGTTTCAGCAATGAACTCTGGCCAGGGGCAGTTGGTGCTGCACTAGCAAGTGGGCTGATTCCCTCACGGTTAGCGCACAGTTCTGACTCATGCCCATACTTGAACCCAGGATCTATCACTTCCTCTTGACTCAAAATTCCTTGTGCCCAGCCTTACGCACACAGAAGCCCAGGCCACCGCTACCAGTCTGTGGTGCCCCCCTATAAACACACTGACAGATTGGGGTTACCACACTTTTACGGCCTCTCCTCCAGCTTGATGTCCCCCAAATGTGTCTTGTGTTACCACCCCAGTCCCAACCCCTCTGCAGGGCCTCCAACCTCAAGACAAAGTGAGATACAGGGCTCCTTATGTTACCCCAAACACACTGCCTTCCTAGCCTGTTCAACTCCAAAGTTCACTGTCTGGAATGGTCAGTTACCTGGAAGTCTGTCTATGTCTAGAACTTCACTAGGTCCCTCTCATAGTATCTCCCAGGTCACACATCCCTTTTGATCTTGAAGCTAGATCCTGGAGTCTCAGATGGTTCATGACATGAAAACCCTACTGGAGGAACTGGACATGGCAGGGATCTCACACTTCCTCGGGCAGCTGCTCAATGAGGCTGGCAAAGCAGTCGGTGGTCTGTGTGGCAATCTAACCTCCTCAGAGGCCCACAAATGCTGGTCACCATTATGCCCCCACAGAGCAGGGGCTCTTTCGGAAAGTTACTCTGTCCGATTCTCCCTTCCATGGCTCTCCTGTAGTTAGTTCCCAACCAGGTTCCCAGGAGGGGCAGCTCTCCTGAGTTCTGAGACCTTTGTCTTGACCTGTTTGCCCTTTGTGGAAGGGTCACACCCACAGAGGGCACAAGGGGTATGGAAGTCATGTGGTGACAAAGAAAGGCACTGGACAACGGACACTGGGCTAAGCAGGGATCCTTCTTAGGAGGGTGGTGACCTTGAGGTCTGGGCCTCGAAATTCTCGCTCTGCCAGAGGGGAGTGGCCTGGGCCAAGAAGCTCTGGAAGGTGTTGTGGTACATGGTGGAATGTTGCGGATGAGGAAGGAGTACATCCCTGTCCACACCCTCAGACACCAGCTCGGCCACCATCTGCTCAATATCCTGCGAGTGACCAGCCATGGTTTCAGGGACCTGGTTGGGCGAGGTTGGGGCAGACCCAGTCAATGGGGAGGGTACAGTCGACCGGACCGGGAGGTGCAGGCCCAGTATGTCTCTAGATGGGGCCTTGGCCGTGTTTGCTCTGTCCTGCGCATGCAGCATGGCCAGACGTCTGCGCTCGTCGATGCTGATATTCCAGCGACTACCTGGGCGCCTGCGCGCTGGAGGCTCACATACCTGTGGGGACAGAGCGCACGGTCACCTCCAAATTCAGTTTCTCACGTCTGAGCTAGGTCTCCAGCTCCTATTGCCTCACTCTGAAACCCAGGCTGGCCTGACCCCCTCACTGTGCTTCAGGGAGAGCTGCTAGTGGGGAAGGCAGGACGCTCTTACAGCCCACACTGGCTTACCTGAGCACTTCATGGGCCCCCTCAGGTGTTCATGTGTCCCTGGACTATGCAGACATTACAGTGGTTCTGGCAAAGTACTCCAAAGTGGAGGGTGCGGTTGGGCCAGAGGCATTACAAAGCTAACTAACCTGTTGGTGCCCCCCCAAAAATCAGCTCTCAAAGATCAACCCTAGGCATCCTTCCTCCCTAAGAGCCCTAGAAAGTGATCTTAAAGGCTGGGTTCGGTTAAAAACTAACAAAAATAACAGAGTCTATAAAGAGATTTCGGAGGAAAACTAACACTCTGAACACACATGAACAAAGTTTTAAAAACAGGTACGAGGGTCATCAGTCACACCACACAGGAGATTGGAAGGGGTGACTTGCGAGAAAGCTGGCACAGGCTGTAGGTAAAGCCCACATATAACAGCCACAGGATGCCCCTGCCGTGGTTGGTGGTCTGTGGAAGTCCCTCCAGACTGCCCACTTAGGGGCACACCTAGCTACCTTCTGGATGGAAAAGGAGCAGGATGAGACACCAAGTGAAGGACCTCCTTACTCAAGAAACCTTGAAAGAATCAATGCATAACAATCCAGTGGTTCCAGGCGATGAAAGGAGACAGAGACAGAGACAGAGACCCACATTGGAACACTGGACTGAAATCTCAAGGTCCAAATCAGGAGCAGAAGGAGAGAGAGCACGAGCAAGGAACTCAGGACCGCGATGGGTGCACCCACACACTGAGACAATGGGGATGTTCTTTCGGTAACTCACCAAGGCCAGCTGGCCTGGGTCTGAAAAAGCCTGGGTTAAAACCGGTCTCGCTGAACATAGCAGACAATGAGGACTACTGAGAACTCAAGAACAATGGCAATGGGTTTTTGATCCTACTGCACGTATTGGCTTTGTGGGAGCCTAGGCAGTTTGGATGCTCACCTTACTAGACCTGGATGGAGGTGGGTGGTCCTTGGACTTCCCACAGGGCAGAGAACCCTGATTGCTCTTTGGGCTGACGAGGGAGGGGGACTTGATTGGGGGAGGGGGAGGGAATGGGGAGGCGGCGGTGGGGAAGAGACAGAAATCTTTAATAAATAAATATAAAAAATGGAGGGGGGGTAATTATCGCAGCTCTGTAATAATTGATCGCCATAACAATGTGGAAACACTAAAGGCAGTTCTTTCTCCTTAAAAAAAAAAAAATCCAGTGGTTCCATTTCTGGGGACAAACCCGGATGAATTTAAAGGCAGGACTTGGAAAGGTGTGTGAACACCCATGTCCACAGCAGCTTCATTCGCTCAGTCAAAACATGGACGCAATTCGAGTGCCGTGGAGGGTGGCTCTACCCAGACAATGGAACATTACTGACTCAACAGAAAGGAAGGAAGGGAGGGAGGGAGGGTGAGCACTTGGGGCTAGATACCTAGCTCAGCGGTTAAGAGTGTGTTCTGCTCTTGCAGAGGACCTGGGTTCAGTTTCAGCATTCACCTCAGGCATCTCACAACTGCCTGTAATGCCAATTCAAAGAGATCACACACCATTCGGCTTCTGTGGCCACCTGCATGCACATGGTGCACATAAATTCACACTTTTTTTTTTTTTTGGTTTATCAAGACAGGGTTTCTCTGTGAAACAGCCCTTGCTGTTCTGGAACTCACTCTGTAGACCAGGCTGGCCTCAAACTCACAGAGATGTACTTACCTCTGCCTTCTGAGTGCTGGGATTAAAGGCATTCACCACCACCTGGCATAAATTTTTAAAAATTAAAAAAATTAAAAATGTTTCAATTAAAAAAGTTGACACTCAGGGGCTGGAGAGATGGCTCAGTGGTTAAGAGCACTGCCTGTTCTTCCAAAGGTCCTGAGTTCAGTTCCCAGCAACCACATGGTGGTTCACAACCATCTGTAATGAGATCTCGTGCCCTCTTCTGGCCTGCAGGCAGACATGATATTGTATACATAATAAATAAATTTAAAAAATTTGACACATGCTGTTGTGTGGTTGACTGCGAAACAGCAGCCACCAAAGCACACATTCCATAGCTTCTACGACCCTGCTGGTCTAGGAATAGTCAAACTCAAACTCACTGAGACAGAAAGTAGAGCAGAGCCTCTGGAGACTGGGGGTGGTGGAACAGGAGAAACTGACAGTGGAAGAGACCTGGAAATCTGTCTCACAACAAGGGTATATTCAGTAAGAGGCTAGATGGGCTCCATGATAGAATGCACCATTAGCATGTGCATGACCAAGGTGATGTTCATGTCCTTAGATCCATCTCTAGAATCCGCACCAACACACACACAGTAGCTTTGATGACAAAAATATGAGGGAAAAAAGTGAACATTTGACTCCAAGGCATGTACTGGGAGAAGGTACAGAGAAACACAGGAGACGATAAGCCAAGAGGGGTCCCCCTGAAGGTCCTCCTGCAACCCTCAGAAGCCAGGCTTCCAGATGTGTGTCCCACCAAATCCATAGGCCAAGGTTTCCCCTTCAAGGTGCTGGACAAGGAGAAAGGCCTCAGGGGAGGGGTTAGGTGCTAGCGCACCAGAAAGAGATCCACAGAGCTCACTCACACCCTACGCATTCAAACAGAGGGAAAGGCAACTTCTGTGAACCAAGCAGTAGGCCCTCTCCAGACCTGAATCTGTGCGAGACTTGGACTTGGTCTGGACCTGCCAGCCCCTAGAATTGAGAAGCAGCACTCCATACTGCCTAAGCTACTGTGGTTTGTTATGGAAGCCCCAACTGACGGCAGTCCAAGAAGGATAACATCAACGTTTCTGATTCCGTCTCTTTAGAGACCTCTGTATTCGGAAGTGTATGACAATACATTCCTGTTGTTTAAATTGGAAAAAAAAAGGGGGGTGGTGGAAGTCCACAGGCCCTCATCCCATCCTGCAGCCTACTTTACTCTGTTTTCCCTAGCCTATTCCATACAAGTTCCTTCTGTTGAAAAGCAGGGGCCTCTAGTCACTGAAAGCCAGATGCCTACCTGATCATGCCACAGCAAAGTCAGCTGCTAACAAAGGCTATTTGAACACCTGCACATGTAAAGTCGCCAGTATCACAAGCTCAAGGTGAAGAGCAGGACGGAGCTGCTAGCTAGCTGAGAGAGGAGAGATCCCAGGTCTCCATTATCACTGTGGCCTCTGGATGTAGGGTACAGGCAACGAATGAAACAAGAGCAGAAGCACGTGGAGGTGACCATCCAGAGGACAAGAATGAACCTGGGTATGGAGAGTAAGACTTGGTGAGACGGATATTTAGTGGGAAGCTGGTCTCCAGCTGTTCCTGTTCTTAAGCCACTTTGTGGGGGCTGCACCCCTCTTGTAGCACTATGCCGGCACAGTACTTCTTGCTGGAGCAGCTCTGGTTCTGCTGGAGACACTGGCTGAGGATGGATGTGCTCCTCACATGACACATAGACATGAGGCCACGTGCTAGGCTCATTGTATTGATGCGGCAACCTCAGGAAAGGCAGGATCAGAAGACCTTAGAGAGTGAGAGGCACACACTGGACAATCAACCCACGTCTGACCAAGAAATGAGAAAACACGGGTTCAGGGTTCATTTGGAGAGACTCATCACACAGCTTCGCCGCCACAGTACTAACTGATAGGGGATCGAAAGCACAGAGTGCACACATTCTGTCCCCAGAGACAGAGCAAACAGCCTTAGCAGAATACATTATGCTGACATTTCAGAACACTGGCAAGAAGAAAAAGATCTTCAGTTTTTTGGAAATGAAGCTGGAGAGATGGCTCAGTGGTTAAGAGCACTTGGGTTCAGTTCCCAGCACCCACACAGCAACTCACACCTGTCTCTTAATTCCAGTTCCCGGACATCCAAAGCTTTCTTCTGGTTTTATGCAGGTAAAAATTCATACATACAAAATATAATATATATAAATAATAAATAATAAAATAATAAATAAATATAAAATATAATACATATAAATTCATACATATAAAATACATAAATCTTAAAAAACTTTCAAAAATAAAAATGCCACAGGGGTGGAGCTATATAGAGATGCCTAGCAACGCACAGGAAAAGAGAATCGGACATCTGCATGATCTCCAGTGTTACGCAGTAGCTCTGGAAACTGGCAGGGAGAGAGCTGCAAAGGCCTGGAAAAAAATTCTCCCAGAATTTTTACCTAACCAAAGCGCTATGCAAGTGTGCAAAGGCATTTCCATACCTTTGAGGTTTTGATTGCTTTTTGTTTGGTTGGTTTTTTGTTTTTCAAGACAGGGTTTCTCTGTAGCTTTGGAGCCTGTCCTGGAACTAGCTCTTGTAGACCAGGCTGACCTCAAATCACCTCTGAGTCTTTAAAGCCCAAAAACTTCAATAGGCACCCACAGACACATGCATACATACGTAAACATGAGCACATGCAGGCACACACACAAATAGGCACACATAAGCAAAACCAGTGTAATATACCTCTTCGGGAATATGGCGAAATAGAACAGGAGGGAGGTAGAGCACCAGGTCCCAATTTATATGACAGAACAGCAGCAGTCTCTGGGGGAGCAGTATTAACTTCATGTGTGCATTCACACAAGTTGGACATGATCTAGGCCACAAACAAAATGGATCTGCACCAGGCCCCTGGAACTCATAACTATGAGGCCACAGAACAATATGATTGAAATTACCGCCCAGAGATAACATACTCCTATCAAAATGGGCATCCCTTTCTAAGTCAACATGTGAGGACAAAGAAAGTTGAGGAGACTGAAATGTATATTTATTTAGATATAACATGAGAGCAAGATCCACCAGAGTGCCAGAGCGTGAGCAGAACTGCCCTCTGAGGACAATGTGCAGCTTGAATCCACCG